GCTCACATGGTGGTCAACAGAAGTGACATAAGGACCCTCCCAAGGTCTCCCTAAAGAACATTGGAACTGATGGCATGACATGGAAGACCCTGGCAAAGAAGCACCTACTATGGCAGGCCCACATCAAAGAAGACACCATACTTTATAAGAGAAACATAATTGCAGTAGCACAAAAGAAGTGTGAGATGTGCAAATTTAGAGACATCTCCACTCTAAATGTGCCTGACCTGTGGTAGACATGCTTGCATCAGCCTAATTAGTCACAGTAGGACACACTGTACCTTGACTACAATATAGTAATGTAATTTTGGTTCTCTTCAAGAATGAAGGGCAGAAACCAACAACCAACTACTATGTACAATGTTCTCCTGGCTCTGCTCACTTTACTCTGCATCAGTTCACATAAGTCCTCCCAGGTTTTTCTGAAAGCATACTGCTCATCTCTTATACGACAATAGTATTTTATCACAATCATATGGCACAATTTGGTCAGCCATTCCACAGTTGATGGGCATCCCCTCAATTTCTAATTCTTTGTCACCAAAAAAAGAGCCGCCATAAACATTTTTGTACAAATAGGCCTTTTCCCTTTTCTTTGATCTTTTTGGATACAAACTTAGTAGTGGTATTGCTGGGTCAAAGGGCATTCAGTTTTATAGCCCTTTGGGCATAATTTCAAATTCTTCTCCAGAATGACTGGACCAGTTCCCAACTTCACCAACCGTGCATTAGTGTCCCAATTATTCCACATCTCCTCCAATATTTATCATTTTCCTTTTCTATCATGTTAGCCAATCTGATAGGTGTGAATTGTTTTAATTTACATTTCCCTAATTTGTAGTGATTTAGAATATTTTTTCATGTGACTACTGAGAGCTTTGACTTCTTCTTCTGAAAACTGCCTGTTCATATGCTGTAACCATTTTACAACTGGGAAATGGCTCTTATTTTCATAAATCTGGCAAAGTTCACTATATATTTGAGAAATGAGGCCTTTATCAGAGAAATTTACTGTAAAAAATTTCCCCCCAATTTTCTGTTTTCCTTCTAATTTTGGCTGTATTAATGTATTTGTACAAAAGCTTTTTAATTTCATATAATCAAAATTATCCATTTTATACCCAGTAATACCCTCTATTTTTTATTTGGTTATTAACTCTTCCCTTATCCATAGATCTTACAGAACATTTTTCCATGCTCCTCCAATTTACTTATTATATCACCCTTTATGTTTAAATCATTTACCCATTTTGGTATTTTGGTATATGGCGTGAAATATTAATTTATGCATTGTTTTTGTCAAATGTTGGGCTCTTACCTCAAAAGCTTTGATCTTTGAGTTTACGAAAGACTAATTGGCTATGATCATGTATTACTGTGTATTGTGTACCCTCATCTATTCCACCGATCCACCGTTGTATTTCTTAGCCAGTACCCAGATTGTTCTGATGATTACTGCTTTGTAATATAGTTTGAAATCTGGAACTGCCAGGCCTTTTGAAAGGATATTTAAATGTCAAACAGTTGGAATTTTACTTTAGATAAAAATGTTAAACAGAATAGATTCAAACACAGCTCCTTGTAGTACTGTACTAGAAACTACCTAAGCTGATATCAAATCATGATTATCTATTTTTGGGTCTGACCAATCAACACATTCTGAATACATTTGATAGTATAACTGTCCATTTTTTCCATAAGAAAAATATGACCAATTTTGTCAAATCCCATTAAAAATTTAGATAAACTATATTTATACAATGTCCTGGACCTATCAGTGTGGTAGTCCTGACAAAAAAGGAAAATGAGTTAGTCTGGTATGACCTGTTCTTTATGATCTTTATGATCATTTTCTTTACTAGATGTTCACTACCATGCCTTTAATACTACTCCACAAATCCAGCCTCAGACATGTAACACTCACCAGCTGTGTAACTCTGTGCAAGTCACTTAACTCCAATTGCCCCACATTAAAAAAAAAATACTACATTCCAGAATTTTATCAAGAATCAAAATCCAGCTGAGTAGATCAGACTCTATTCTCTTTCCAAACAGACATTTGCCATTCTCTAGTCCTATACCTTTCCTATTCTCTGAGATCTTTCAAAGATCAACAGTGTGGCTCAGTAATCATATCTGCCCGTTTGTTCAGTACCTTAAGGATGCAGGGCTTGGTGAGCTGACTTTATCACAAGTAGTTAAAAAACTGATTTCCAATTCCCTATTTGCCTAAGTTTATCAACTCCCTATATCCATTTTTCTCCTATTCTTTTTGGTCCAAATAGTGTTCTCCTTGGCAGAGGAAAGAGAAGCAAAGTAACACTTGAATACCTCCATCTTTTCTTTGATCATCATTGCACCCACCCCAAGCAGTGCTCTTATCACTTCTATGATCTTCAAGTTCCTCAACATAGCTTTAAATACACACACACACACACACACACACACACACACACACACACACACACAAAGTTTTTCTGATGTCCTTAGCATTCCTTGACCCCTTCAGCTCATTCTAAACTTTGGCACTACTGACACTGTTCTAACAGAACAATCTGCACTATGCTTCTGTGTTCATCTTCCACTTATTTTCCTTCCTCTGTACATCTTTTTTAAAAATCCAGGTTGGTTAAGAAGATCCTTGTGAATACATTGCTACTTTCTTTTTTTTAAATAAATCTTCTTCCAAAATCTTTTCTTTTCATCAGGATTGTTCCTTTTCATATCTTCAGGATTTCATTCTCAATAACCTGACATCTTCCTTTTGCTGACTTCCTCAGAAGCATTTTAGGCCACGGCCTCCTATCTATTTTTTCCTGGGAATTCTTTAAATTTTTTTCTCCCCAAACATAAGGTACATATCAAACCATGTATAACAATCCTATTCTTCCATATCACAAATTCTAGGAGAGAACAGTTGCTTTCCTCAAGGTTCTGATCATTTCCACCTCTTCAGATCCTGAACAGCAATTTTTCTCATTAGTTTCTCTACCTTTGAGGGATGAAATCATTATTAAAGCTAGGAAAGCTGCTTTGCCTTAGACAGAGAGAAAGCATGGTCCAACACATATCCAAATGGTCAAAATCCTAAAGACTATGCTATCCTGTCTCTGTTCCAGGCTTGTAAATTATTTCCCAAACTCAAGTATTTCTTCTTTCTGACTAGGCAATCTATCACATACTTCCATGACAATATTGTTTCTGCCTCTATTATCTTTACCTAAATGTTTTCCAAAATGCTTCCTCTCCTCTGGATTTCCTCATACTAGTTTATGTTCTAATATGCTACTCTATTCGTCCCCTGCTTTATCTATTCTGTTTCTTTAGAACAACATATTACCTTCTCAAGCCATATTACATATTGTGGGTCTCATCTCACAAGATACCTATGAAGTCAAATTGGCTTTCTTATTTTTTTGCCCACAACTATGAGTTTTATTGCAGGGTCTCTCTTTGTATGTGTTCTTCTGTTAACCTGTAGGCATCTTCACTGCTATTTTTCTCATACTGCATATACTCTCTATGGTCAGTCAGTCAAGAAACATTTATTTAGTATCTTCCACATGTCAGGCACTGTGCTAAGCACTAGAGATACAACGAAAGTTGAAACATAGTCTCTGTTCTCAAGGAGATCACATTTTAATATGAGAGATAACATGAAAACAACTCTGTACAAGTAAAATATATACAGAACATAAGAGATAATCACCACAAGGGAAAGCATTAGCAGTAAGGGGATCAGAAAAGGCTTCTTATAGAAAGTAGTATTAATTGGGAGCCAGTGGGACCAGGAAGTAGAAATAAGGAGGCAGAGAATTATAGGCAGAGGGGAGAGCCAGTGAAAATGCATAGAAATTAGGAGAGAATATCTTATTTGAAGAACAATATGGAGGCCAGTATCACTGGATTATAGAGTACATGAAGAAGTGTAAGGTGTAAGAATATTGGAAAGGTAAGAAGTACTGGAAAGGAGAGCAGGTTATAAAGGGCTTTGAATGTCATAAAGAAGATTTTATATTTGGTAGGGAGGCACTGACGTTTATTGAATAGAAGGGTAACAAGTCAGACCTGAACTTCAGGAAGATCAGTCTGAAAGTTGAGTGTAGCAAGAGAATTGAGCAGGGAAACCAACTAGAAAGCTATTGCAATAATTCAGGTGTAAGGTGATAAGAGCCTTGTACCCTGGTGCTAGCAGTGCTAACAGGAAAAAAAAGGGAGGAAATTCACAAAAGATAGTACAAAGGCAACATAGAGGATATGGGGAGTAAGAGAGAGTGAAGATCTAAGGATGACACCTAGGTTTTGAGCCTGGGTACCCTGACAATAATAGGAAAATTAGGAAGAGGGTAGGGCTCGGAGGAAAAGGAAATTAGTTTAATTTCAGACATGTTGAATTCAAGCTGGCTGTGGCACATCCAATTCAAGATGCTCAATATGCATTTGGGAGATGTAAGACTTCATAGAGGTCATAAGAGATATTAGAGCTAGATAAGTAGATCTAGGAATCATCAACATAGAGATGATAATTGAATCCATGAGAGTTAATAAGATCAACAAGTGAAACAGTATAGAAGGAAAAAAGAAAAGGGCCCAGGACAGACCTTCAGGGGATACCTACAATTAGCAGGCATGACCTGGATGAAGATTAGGAAGATGAGACTTTAATAAGAGCAGTTGAAAGCAGAAGAACCAGAAGAGAGTCAATTCTGTAGTATTTGGGCTGATACATACATATAGGCATTTTTTCCCTCTTCTTTTTTAGTTTAAAGCCATTTTGATTAGATTTTCAAGATTCCATGAACACAGTTTTTATGATCCTTCAATTTTTTTTCCTTCCCTTCCATGTGTCAACTTCAAGCTAACTTTTCATCCTTTCTTGGAATAAATTTGGAACAAACTAATTCTCAGAGAGGTAACAATATTAAACAAATTCATTCTGCCTAAAAGAATCCTGCTTTAAACACTGTCAATTTTCTATGTAAAAGCATAATTATTCCTACCTTGTATAAACAAACAGGGTTCCTTCTACATCAGTCTTCTCCTGTAAAAAACATACAACAAAATATAAATATATGCTCTCCATTTAAGCAAAGAGTCATGTATTGAGAGATCATAATCTTATGAAATAGAATAAGCAGGCCTGATAACCAGTATGATGATGAATCAACCAATATGAATTTATGAAGCACCTCTTATATGCAGGCACTTACTAAGAGCTGGGGATACAGAAACAAAATGAAAGTCTCTGCTTTTGAGAAGTTCGCAATTTAGCCAGAAAAGATAGCTTGTACATAATTATAGGTATGCACAAAATAGGTATAAGATCATTTGGGAAGGGAAGGAACCAATCCTCGAGGAAGTGGAGTCAAGAAATGCATCTTGCCACAGTAGTCAATGACTATAGTAATCTACCGTCTGATAAACCCAAAGACTCCACTTTCTGTGATAAGAACTCACTATATGACAAAAATTGCTGAAAACATTGCAAAATAGTATGGCAGAAACTGGGCATAGACCTACATCTTATACAACATAAAGTCAAAATAAGTACACAATTTAGATATAAAGGCTGATACTATAAGAAAACTGGAAGAGCAAAAAATATTTTACCTGTCAGATTTATAAAGAATGGAAGGATTTATGACCAAACAAGAGATAGAAAACATTATGAAATGCAAAATGTATAATTTTGATTACATTAAATTGAAAAGTTTTTGCACAAAATGCAGAAAACTGGGGAAAAATGTTTACAGCCAGTGTCTCTGATAAAGGCTTCATTTCTAAAACACATAGAGAACTGAGTCAAATTTATAAGAATAAAAGTCATTCTCCATTGATAGTCATGAATAAGCAGTTTTCAGATGAAGAAATTAAAGCTATCTCTAGTCTTATGAAAAAATGCTCTAAATCACTATTGATTAGAGAAATGCAAATCAAAACAACTCTGAGGTACCACATCACACCTATCAGATTAGCTAACATGACAAAACAGGAACATGGTAAATGCTATAGAAGATGTAGGAAAACTGAAACACTAATGCATTGTTGGTGGAGTTGTGAACTGACCCAACCACTGTGGAGAACAATTTGGAACTATGCCCAAAGGGCTATAAAACTGTGTATACCCTTTGACCCAGCAACACCACTTCTAGGTCTGTATCCCAAAGAGATCATACAAATGAGAAAAGGACCCACATATACAAAAATATTGATAGCAGCTCTTTTTGTGGTGGCAAAGAATTGGAAACTGAGGGGATGCCCAACAGTTGGGGAATGGCTGAACAACTCGTGATATATGAATATAATGGAATACTATTGTGCTATAAGAAACAAAGAGCAGGCAGACTTCAGAAAAACCTGGAAAGACTTATATGAACTGATGCTGAGTGAAGTGAGCAGAACCAGGAGGACATTGCACACAGTAACAGCCACCTTATGTGATGACTAACTTTGATAGACTTATCTCTTTTTAGCAATGCAAAGATCTAAGACAACTCCAAAAGATTCATGATAGAAAATGCTGTCCAAATCCAGAAAAAGAACTACGGAGTCTGAAGGCAGATTGAAGCATATTATTTGCTCGCTCTTTCTCTCTCCTTTTTGTTGTTGTTGTTGTTTCTTCTTTCTCATGGTTTCTCCCATTGGTTCTAATTCTTCTTTACAACTTGACTAATGTGAAAATAAGTTTAATTTGAAAAGAAAAAGAAATGCTTCTTTCAGAAAGTAGATAGACTGGGTCCAGGTTATGAAAGGCTTTAAAGGAAAAAGTTTACGACTGATCCTAAAGGTGACAGCAAGTCACTAGAGTTTGAACAGGCTAGTGACAAGGGACAGAATAGTCCTTAAGCAAAATAACTCTGGCAGCTGAGTAGAAAATGAATTGGAGTAGATACAGACTTGAGGCAGAGGCAGCAATTAGGAGTCTACTGTAATAATCTAAGTGAGAGTTAATAAAAACTTGAATCAAGGTGGTGGCTAAGAGAGTAGAGTGAAAGTTGACTTGAGGGATGTTGTGAACTTAAACTACCTCATCAGTAAAACAACCAACCTGGAAAATCAATCCAGGAGAAACAATTTAAAAATCATTGGACTACCTGAAAATCATGGTGAAAAAAAGAGCCTGGACAGTATCTTTCAGGAAATCATAAAGGAAAACTGCCCTGAAGTCCTAGAACCAGAAGGTAAAATAACCATAGAAAGAATACACCACTCACCACCTGATAGAGATCCCAAATTGACAATGCCAAGGAATATAATAACAAAATTCCAAAAGTACCAGATGAAAGAGAAGGTGCTGCAAACAGCCAGAAAGAAACAATTTAAATATCATGGAACCACAGTCAGGATTATACAGGACCTTGCAGCTTCTACATTAAAAGACCGCAGGTCATAGAACATGATATTCCGTAAGGCAAAGGAGCTTGGATTGCAACCAAGGATCAACTACCCTGCAAAAATGAGCATGATTTTTCAAGGGAGAAGATGGATATTCAATAAAATAGGGGACTTCCAAACCTTCCTCATAAAAAGACCAGAGCTCAACAAAAAATTTGATCTTCAAGTTCAAGATTCAAGAAAGACATAAAAAGGTAAATGGGACAGAAAGATACAAAATGTTGTTAATAAGGGCAGACTGTTTACATCCCTACAAGGGAAGATGACACTTGCAACTCTTGAGAACTGTACTGTTATTACACCATGTTAAAGAAGTATACATAAAAGGGGTGGATATTAGTTGACTTGGATGTAATGATAAAAAACAAATCTAATCAAGTGGGTTAAATGGATCCAAGTAAGTAGATTAGCCTGATCTTAGAAAATATACTGAGAAAGGAGGAGGCAGACAAGGAAAAGACAGAAAATCCTATTACAACAGAGGGAAAAAGGGAGGGTGGTGAACATTGTTTGAACCTTGCTCTCATCAGATTTGGCTCAAGAAGGGAATAACATAATCAGTTAGGTATGGAAATCTAACTTGCCCTATGGGCAGTAGGAGAGAAAAGGGGAAAGAAAAGGGAGGGGAGATGGAAGGGAGGGAAGAAGCAGTGGGGGTGAAGGGAAAGGGGGGGAGGGGGAAAATAGAAGGGAGGAGAGACTGAAGGAGGCGGTGGTCAAAAGCAAAGTACTGGTGGGGGAGAGGGAGAGAGAAGAAAGAAAAGCATGAACAGGGGGAAAAAAGGATGGAGAAAAAAACACAGGTGGCAATCATAACTGTGAAAGTTGAATAGCTATCTTTTTTTTTCGTCTTCTGTTGAGTTTTGTTTCCTCTTTCTGATGGTTCCTCCTATTGGTTTAATTTTTACTTACAACTTCACTAATGTGAAAATATGTTTAATAGGAATGTAAATGTTTAGCCTATATCAGATTTTGTACCGTTTTGGGGAGGGAGGTGGGAAGGAAGGGGGAGAAAAAATTTAAACTCAAAAGCGTATAGAAGTGATTGTTGATAAATCAAAATAAATTAATAAAATATGCAAAAAAAATTTTAAAAAAGAATATTTACTAATTCAAAGATATATTCTAAGCCAAGGAGCCTTTAAAATGAAATTTGACACAAATAATCACCAAGCTAAAACTGCAATCCAAAAGCATGGCTGAAAATGTTATAGGGAAGTTGTCAAATTAATATGTATGGGGTATTTAGGCTAAGCTCAATCCTTTTCTTGTACCCAAAGACAGTATTCTTGAATTCCAAATGGGACATTGACACTTGAAATTAACCAGAAAACTATGATAGAGTTAATGAAGTTATCTCCAAAGGTCTTAATTATATGGGGGTTTTTTTGTTTATTTGGGTTTTTTTAGTGAGGCAATTGGGGTTAAGTGACTTGCCTTGAGTCACACAGATAGGAAGTATCATGTGCCTGAGGCCGGATTTGAACTCAGGTCCTCCTAACTCTAGGGACAGTGCTCTATCCACTGTGGTATCTAGCTGCCCCCAAAGACATATTTTAAAGAAAAAAAAAACTTTCCATTGTGATTAATGCAAAGATGTTATAAAAACATAAAAATAAGGTACTTGCTTGTATAACTAGAAATCAAATAGCTAAAATTTGGAATTTAAAAGCAATTTAATTTTTAAAGAATTTAAGCAATTTAATTTTAATACTCTATTAAAATAAACTAATGAAATCCAACTGACTAATTTCTTTTTGATTAAGTTATGTTTCCAACTTTTTTCATTTCATGCATGCCTGCAAACTTATTGAGATCAACATCACATTCTTCACAGGTTCCCTTTCCAAATTTCTGTATGTACTCTTTCCTTCAATCACATAATTGTGTGTCTTGTGAATAGATATAAGGCACTTTCCCTTCTCTTTTCACAACCATCACCATCCCCACTCTGTAGATAAAGAACATGCACAAGGAAAGACAGAGATCAGGCCTATCTAAGATACCTTTTCAGGACCTTAAAATATCTGTTACAATTTGGCATGGAAAAACCAAATTAACTTAAAGGTTTACATACAACTAATCCATAACTATTTTGTTCTGAAATTTTTAGCATTTCAAATGCATTTTAACATTTCAACTTGAAATGCTAACTGAAACTTTTTTTTTCAAAATATCACTCCTCCTTGTTCCCTGTCCCCTCTATTCCAAATAAAACAACCCCATGACATTTCATCATTAACATTATCACCATTATCACTTGGAATTTGGTTATTCTATACTTTCAGGAAGGACTACACCCTTTAAATGGAAAGCTGTATTAGTGGTAGTGAAGCCATTAAAAAATCTTATGTTGCATTTGAAATATTTCTCTTAGCACCACTGAAGTAATTTCAATATTTCTCTTCAGTCATTTTCATCCAATTCTCAATTCTAAGCAAATGCAGATATTCTAGGGAGCTTGAAAACAGAAGCCAGTATATCTCAAATTATGTATATACACATTACCAAACCCTTCTAATTTATTCTTAATATTGCATGAATATAAAGTACAGTGTTGCATGTTTGAGAAAAAGTTTCTTTGACCTTAACATGTCTGGTTATTGTTGCAGAACATGCAATTCAGCAATGAAGAACTTTATAAATACTAAACATTCAGTTAGTCTTTTTTTCATGTTGTAAGCATAGGTAGAGGGGTCAGGAGTTCAGTCTTAAAATTGATTTACTATATCATTCTGGATAAGACATTCCAATGGTTGTGCTCTTTCTTTAACTGTCAACTGGGGGGTCATAATGCTAACTTTTAGAAAATAAGATTACATTTGTAAAGCAGCTTTTAAAGTGCTCTAAGCCCTCAAGCTAAAAAAAAAATTAAACAATAGAAATATCAGTTTTAATCTTTCTTTGCAGAAACTTATCGTTCTTAAGAAATAGTAGCATTTCCTAAAAGTAAACTAATTGTGTACTTCAGAACCTGTGTATTCAGGAAATACACAAAACTCAGGGTACTAAAATAACTTTTAGTAAGTAACTGTTCCACTAAACTAAATACCTCCCAGACCTTAAACACAGTACCTGGAACATTTGTTTTTCAGTCTTTTTCAGTCATATCAGACTCTTTGTCACCCTATTTGGGGTTTTCTTGGCAAAGATACTGAAACAGTTTGCCATTTTCTTCTCCAGTTCATTTTACAGATGAGGAAACTGAGGCAAACAGGGTAAAATGACTTGCCCAAGGTCACACAGCTAGTAAGTATCTGAGGCCAGATTGGAACTATGGAAGTTGACTCCAGGCCCAACACTCTATCCACTGAGTCATCTAGCTGCCCCATGCCTGGAACACAGCAGGCACTTAATAAATGTTTACAGATTGATTATTGGTTAAAATGATCTGATTACCTCTGTTCCCCTACAGAGTACCTACAACTATTCAGTCATCTAGTCATTCTGCTAAAAGTAATTGGTTGCATCCGTTATATAGCCAAGAGGTCTAAAGCAAGTAGAAAGACAAGATAGCTAACAGATTTAAGTTTAGAATGAGACCCTGTAAAATTTCATGTCAGAACTACAGTTTCCAGTCCAAAAATATTTACCTCAGCTACAATATCTGCCTTTAGATATCTTGTCATGGAAAAGTCGAAGCAAGATATTTATATGTGTAGGCAAACCAACTTTTTTTTTACTTGTTTTCTTTTACTTTTTATGAATAAATTAATTTTTTAAAGTTGCTGTAATCAACAAGGATTTATTAAGTACTTCCTATGGGTAATGCAATATTAAGTGTTACAAACTCTAATTAGAGAGTTAGGAAATACAAAAGTTATGGTTCTTCCGGCAACATTCTCTTTCTCATGTTGTTATTCTGAATTATAAATATAACTGAGAATTTAACTGGCTTGATATATATATAGATACAGATATAGATATAAAGTATGAGTAATGCAGAACTGTTTCAGTAGCAAAGGTGGGTGACTTGCCAGGATTGGGCTAATTATTTTATTACTATATGCCTGTTTTTTCCCCCATGGAAAGGGGAAAATAACTAAGTTACATCACTCAGACTTTGAGAGTAAGTTCAAAGGACACAAATCTGCAGAAGGCAAAATACTCTTTTAGTGAACTTAGTGAACTTCATGGTGAGAGGAAATACTTTATTTAAAACAGAATTCTGGGCAGCTAGCTGTCAAAGTGAATAGAGCTCTGGTCTTGGATCAGGAGGACCCGAGTTCAAATCCAGCTTCAGACACTTGACCCTTACTAGCCGTGTAACCCTGGGCAAGTCACTTAACTCCATTGCCCAGCCAAAAAAAAAACAAAACCAAAATTCTGTAACATCTAGGAAGAGCTTACCTTTGTTTCAATGGGTTTTGATTTCAAGTTAAAGTATGGCATCTAATCTTTTTAACTGAACTTTATTACAAAAGCCAAATTGTGTTAAAATACTAAGCAATTCAAAATAAAAATACTAAACTACAGAATAAATTTTTGTGTTGTTTTACAAACTATTGGGACTTATCAGACATCAAAACTAAAATATCTAAGACTTTTCACATAACTTTAACTTATGTCAATAGTCATTGAAGGTTCAAATGATGAGACACTGGGATTAAATCTCTGAGCAACAATGAGTAGTCCTAAAAGAAAATGACCAGAACTGGGAAAAAAAACATCACAGTATACCACTCAATGCTGCATAGATATTTGTGTGATACAGGCTTTCTTGGCAATTGGGAGCAAATCTTGCCGTATATATCCTATTCCAGCCATGACATATCTTTTAAGGGGGAAGGAGGGAAATTCCACGTTTTTAACAATGCCCAAGCATTCATTTCCCTCTCTAACAGAACTTCATTCTTTGCTCATCCTTCCTACCCAGTCCCTACTTCTCTTCTTGTTTAGTTAGGTCAGTCCTCATTTATTTTAATTGCAGCAGTAACTGGCTCTCTGGGCATCCACCTGTCTTATTGCAAACTTTCTTTCTTTATCTCTCAAGTATTTTCCCTATATTTTCCCTAGCTTCATATTCAAAAGGTTCAAAGGCTCCACAGTGGCAGAAGTTAGTGACAGCAGCGGTAACTGTTATGAACTCCCATTGATCATATGCTGAGATCATTTATAGCTAAACTATTTTTTTTTCTTTCAGTTGCAAGAATTTTAAATACTTTAAGAGAATGACCATTTGCTATATGAATTACGTATTATTTGAAGGCAATTTGTTCAAAAAGCAGCAAAAGGCAGCTCTATTTTCAACAGATGATATTATCTTAATTATCTCATCCTCTCTCCCAACTGTCAGGAAACTTGTTATCAACTCAAGGAATACTTGGCACCCAAATCATTCAGTTCCAAAGTGAAAAGGATACAACTTATCTCATTTAGACCAACTAGCATGGCTTCAACACCTCCTCCACTTTAAATATCCAACTTTCTCTCCCTCCATACCTTAAAAGTCTTATCCTGTCTTTTCTTCTTACCTTCATTCTTCTACCTAGAAATACTTGTGGCATAATGGAAGAGCACTGACCTTACAGTCAGAAGATGGCAACTACTGTCTCAGGCAAAAATAGATTATATGCTGGAGGACGGGAGTGGAGAAATTTCACAGAAACTCAGAATCACAAGGGACCTTAAAGGCTACCTAGTCCATAACTATAACTGAAAAAAACAATCCCCTTTTAAATCATATCCACCAAGTGCTCTCCAGCCTTTACAAAAAGATATTAAATCAGGGGGAATCAACTCTTTCCCCTTACATATACAGAATCTCAGTGCAATTTTGGATAGCTCTCTATTTACACCTCCTCCATCTTAAATTTGTGAGGTTCATTTTTGCAATTCAAGCGGAAAACTTCACATTTATCCCTATTCAATTTCATCTTACTAGATTCAGCCCTATGCTCTAGACCACCAAGTTCTTTTTGAATCCTGACTCTCATTTGATGTGTTTAATTCTCAGTTTTGTCTCATCTGAAAATTTGATAACCTTGTCATTTATGCCTTTATCCAAGTGAGTGAAAAACAATTTAAAGAACAGAACCAAGGACAGATCCCTGGAGCACTTCACTAAAGACTTTTTAAGCAGGCCATGCCTAGATTACATTTCTTGACCTTTTCCACAAGAGCATGAGATACTGTGTGAAACACTTTACTAAATCTAAGTAACTGTATATCTACAGAATTCCTCTTACCTACAGTCCAGTAACCCAGTAAAAAATTTAACAAATTCAAGAAATATTTATCGAATACCTACTGTAAGCTTTAAAGTCCTTTCTGACTCAGCCAATAATGTTGGGACTTGGCTTCTTCATGTGTAAAAATAGATGATAACAACACCTGTAACTACCTACTCATCTGACAATGATTATCCCCAGTTTTATTGAGGAAACAGGTTCAGAGTTTATGTGGCTTGCCAAGGTTCACACAGCTAGTAAGTATTCCTCTTGCTGGAATCTGAACCCAGATCTTGCTGACTTCAAGCCCTCTTTTCATTTCTCGTTCCACTTGTCAGCTTCCTCGCTAGCTTCGCAGCAATCAAACTTCCTGCAAGTTTGATTTCTCCTGACCAGAGAAATAAAGACAGTACAGGCTTCTCCCTCAATTTTATCCTTCTCCTACTTGTACTTTGGGGCTGGGATCTAGTCCAGTTCTTCTTTGTATCCCCAAACAAGACTATTCACCAGGCTATGTCTTCAGCTGGCACTCAGTAAGTACTTTAAAAGTTAATTTTTTAAATATTCCCCTACCTTGGCAGGGAGTGTTCGCTCAGCCTGGGGCTACTGTATGCGCTTTGCTCCCATCAAACTCTTTCTAGGGGTCTCAGGCCCGGGTCCTGACGCTGGGAGGGCTGGTCCCGCCCCGCCCCCGCATTGGGAGGGCAGCCCCTCCCCCACCCTGGCCTGTCTACCCCGCCCCCCGTCTCGCCCCGCCCCGGGGGTCTAGGTCGTCGGCTAGCTCCGTCCCTTCCGCCGCCCCCGCCCGCCGGCCTCAGGCCTCTAGTCCCAGCGAGGATCGCGGCCCCGGCCCCGGTTCTGGACGCGCAGGCCCGGCCCCCTCCCCCAGCCCAAGTCGGCCTTGGCCGCCCCGGCGCGGCCTCACGCACCCACTCGTTGGCCCGATGGCCGAAAGTGTACAGGGCCACCTGGCTAGCCACGTCCACTATGCGGTTGATATAGGGGTCGTGGCGCTGCAGGGCCGCCAAACTGATGTCCCGTCCCTTGCCCACTAGGCCACCAGCAGCTACCGCCGCCATCTTCCCTCCCTCCCGGACATCAACACCGTGGACCTGACAGACGCGGCCAATCGAGCGCCGAGAAGCGCGAACTTCCCCACATTCTAAAAAGAGAGAGAGGAAACCAGGCCCTCGATACAGTGCTCCAGGGGCAGGCGAAACGAGCCGGTGGTCCTTCCCTCTCCTCAAGGATTCCCGCGGCAGACATCGCTAATCGACACCGGCATATTTTCCTTTGGGGATTTTGTAACCATGGGCAACAACAGGTCTAGACTCGGCCACATCATTCATCTCTGCTTTAGCCTGGCCTTTCGGCTCCTGGTTCAGCGTTGCTTCCTTCTTTCACTTTTAAAAGGCCTTTGCCAGGATCTAGTTGAGACGCCAGCAATTAAGCCTCTTATAACTCTTTTCAAGTCATTAGTGGCAATATAAAGATGATTGTGAGTTCTTTATCTGTTACCAAATGTGCAATCTACCCCTGCATCATTGTGAAATCAAAGCAGAAATGTTCCCACCTTTTCAATTGGCCTTATTTTTTCCATTAGTCTCTAGGCAGACTAGACAGCTGGGTTCCCTGATCCTGCTCCTCTTTCCAGCTGAATTCTCAAACAGCAAAGTTGCTATTCTCCAACTCAGAGGTGAATCGATTTGCAATACTTGTACCTTCATGTCTCCAATGGATGCCACCCTTACCTCTGTATTCCAGATCTTTTATCCTCCTTCAGGCCCCTTCTCAGTTACCACCTTCCTTATGAAGCCATCAATCCTTGAGCACCTTAATTAGTTATTGCTGTTCTTTCTTAAATTTCCCTAGATGGGCTGAGGCAACTCTGAGCACAACACTCAGTATCAGTGAAAAGGAATTACTTCCATTCTTTGAAAACACTTTAAGAGAGGATCTTGTGAGAGACTGCCCAAGAGGCAAAGGCATGGATTTTTAAATGGTGGACTAGAGATATAATTCTATCCCTATGCCTCTTTTGAACACTGGAGGAGAGATCATACAGTCTCAGAGATATTGGACCTTGCCTGCCCTTCCTTCCAGCTACACTGCTGGTGGTGTTGGCATGGCTTCTTTCCTACTCTCTGCAGAAGTGGTCCAGACTTGGGATTATAGCTCACCCCTCAAATATATCTAGCCTACATGTACAGATCTGGGTTCAGAATGAAAGCTCTTTCCTCTGATCACTCTCAAGGGGGAAGGCAATCCTTATCTTACACTAACCCACTCAGCCACTTCTCATAAAAGAGTAGTCCCTTATCTCATCACAAATTTGCCAAGCCTCAGCTTTGGATCACTCCCACTATTCACTCCTACACACATGCTGCTATATGAAGCTGGAGGAAATCACAAAACTTGAAACCATGTCACCTGGGGCCACTACAAATATATGTTACATAACCCCAACTGGGTCCTCACTGCTACTAGGCAATCCTTTTACACCTCCCTAATTAACAATTCACTAGCATGGCTCTTCCAAAACTTTTCAGCCCTTCTTAAACCTTATAAAGACTTCTCCCTGAGCCCACACCCCTTAGCTAAGAACTTTGTCTCATATTTTACAAAAAAATTGAGGCCATTCACTGAGATTAGCTCCTTCTCCCATTCTCTTGTCTCATATCACCCAGATGCCTTCTGCCACTATATCCACTACTTCTGCCACTATCTCTGTCTCACATGATAAGGTAGCCCATCTTTTTTTTCCTTTAGTATCTTATTTTTCCTGAGTTACATGTAAAAACAATTTTGACATTTATTTTTACAGCTTTGAGTTCTAAATTCTCTCCCTTCCTCCCTCCCCATCCCCACCCTGCTTGAGAAGGCAAACAATTTGATGTAGGTTATACATGTGTAGTCATGCAGAACATTTCCATAATAGTCATGTTGTAAAAGATTAACTGTATTTTCTTCCATCCTATTCCCCCTCCTGTTTATTTTATTCTCTTTCTCCTTTCACCCTGTCCTTCCTCAAAAGTGTTTTGCTTCTGACTGTCCCCTCCCTCAGTCTGCCCTTCTTTCTATTACCCCTCCCCTTCTCTTATCCCCCTTCCCTACCCTACTTTCCTGTAGGGTAAGATAGATGTCTATATCCAATTGAGTATGTATGTTATTCCCTCTTTGAGCCAATTCTGATGAGAGTTAGGTTCATTCACTTCCCCTCACCTCCCCCCTCTTCCCCTCCATGCAGAAGCTTTTTCTTGCCTCTTTTATGTGAATTAATTTGCCTCATTCTACTTCTCCCTTTCCCTTTCTCCCAGTACATTCCTCTTTCACCCTTTAATTTTATTTTTTAGGTATCATCCCTTCATATTCAACTCACACCTGTGCCCTCTGTCAATGTATACTCCTTCTAACTACCCTAATAATGAGAAAGGTCTTATGAGTTACAAATTATCATCTTTCCATGTAGGAATGTAAACAGTGTAACTCTACTAAGTCCCTTATGCTTTCTCTTTCCTGGTTACCTTTTCATGTTTCTCTTGAGTCCTGTATTTGAAAGTCAGATTCTCTTATTTAGTTCTGGTCTTTTCTCAAGAATGCTTGAAATTCCTCTATCTCATCAAATATCCATTTTTCCCCCTGAAGGATTATACTCAGTTTTACTGGGTAGGTGATTCTTGGTTGTAATCCTAGTTTCTTTGGCCTCTGGAATATCATATTCCAAGCCCTCCAATCCTTTAATGTAAAAGCTGCTAAACCTTGTGTTATCCTGATTATGTTTCCACAATACTTGAATTGTTTCTTTCTGGCTGCTTGCAATATTTTCTCTTTGACCTGGGAAATCTGGAATTTGGCTATAATATTCCAGGCAAGGGGCAGCTAGGTGGCTCAGTGGATAGAGCACTGGCCTTGAAGTCAGGAAGACCTGAGTTCAAATGTGGCCTCAGACCAAACACTTAACACTTACCAGCTGTGTGACCCTGGGCAAGTCACTTAACCCCAATTACCTTAAAACTAAAAAATAAATAAATAATAAATAAATATATACTATCCCAGGCAATTTTCATTTTAGGATCTCATTCAGGAGGTGATCAGTGGATTCTTTGGATTTCTATTTTACCCTCTGGTTCTATACTATCAGGATAGTTTTCCTTGATAATTTCTTGAAAGATGATATCTAGGCTCTTTTTTTTGATCATGGCTTTCAGGTAGTCCAGTAATTTACAAATTACCTCTCCCGGATCTATTTTCCTGGTCAGTTGTTTTTCCAATGAGACATTTCGCATTGTCTCACATTGTTTTAATTTTTTTTTTTGGTTTTGTTTTATTGTTTCTTGATTTGTCATAAAGTCATTAGCTTCCATTTGCTCCATTCTAATTTTTAGGAATTATTTTCTTCAGTGAACTTTTGGACCAACCTCCTTTTCCATTTGTCCAGTTCTGCTTTTTAAAGGCATTCTTCTCCTCATTGGCTTTTTGGACTTCTTTTACCAAATGGTAACTAGTCTGTTTTTCAAGGTATTCTTTTCTTCAGTATTTTTTTGTGGCTCCTTTACCAAGATGTTGACTCATTTTTCATAATTTTCTTGCATCACTCTCATTTCTCTTCCCTCTTTTCTTCTACCTCTCTTACTTGATTTTCAAAACCCTTTTTGAGCTATTCCATGGCCTGAGACCAATTCATATTCTTCTTGGAAGTTTTGAATGTAGGAGTTTGACTCTGTTGTCTCCTTCTGAGTATGTGTTTTGATCTTCCTTATCACCAAAGGAAGTTTCTATGGTCAGAGTATTTTTCTGCTGCCTGCTCATGTTCCCAGCCTATTACTTGATTTTTACATCTTTATTAAGGTAGGGCTCCACTTCCAGTGTGGAGGGTGAACTGTGCCAAGCTTCAGGGGTTTTGTGCAGCTGTTTTCAGAGATACTTCTAGTGACCTACAAGTTTTCAGTTCTTCCAGGGTGGTATGATCTAAGGAGAGGTGTTTACTCCTCTCCTGGCCTATGCTCTGGTCTGTGAGAGACCACAAGTACTCTTTTCTGTGCTGGGACTGTCAGAATGATCCCTACTCCAATGTGGCTGCAAGCTCTGGTATGCTAGTGTTCCTCCTTGCCCCAGGACTGCCACCCAGGACTGGAGAGCCAATTATGGGCAAAGCAACAGAGTCCCGCCTTAGTGCTAGCAAAGAGGCCCCTGTGATCTTCTTCTGACCAGTTGTTCAGCCCCCTTACTATTTACGGGTTGAGAGCTCTGGAAGCAACTGCTGCTGATGCAGTTACTCCCAAGGCCTGATCCTGGTTTGCTTGGGGCTGTGGCTGTGCTGGCGTGGCCTGAGCTGGACTGTGTTCCACTTTCACCCAAGTCCAACAGACCTTTCCTGCTGACTTCTAAGTTGTCTTTGGCATCTGTGGGCTGAGAAGTTTGGAAACTCCCAAAGCTGTCAGTGATTCAGTCACCATGAAGCCTGCGCTAAGTTTGCTAGGACCTGGGTTGTGCTGGCCTGGCCAGTGCTGAACTGCATGCCTCTCTCACCCCAGTGCAACAGACCTTTCCTGTCAACCATCCAGACTCTTTTGGGCTGGAAATTTGTTTCATTCTGACTTTTTGTGGGTTCTTCTGCTCTAGAATTTGTTTAAAGTCATTTTAAAAAGATATTTGGAGGGTTTTGAGGGAGAGCTCAGGTGAGCCCCTGCCTTTAATCCGACATCTTGACTGTACCCCAGCCCATCTTCTTATCAAAGTAAACTTCTGTGTGCACAAGTAATCCCATTTTATCTCATCTCCTCCAGTACATTGCCCCCTCCATCATCCCCACTGTCTCACTTGTCTTCAGTCTCTTTCTGACTCCTGGCTGCTTCCTTACTGTCTACCAATGTGCCCAAGTTGCCTGAAAATCCTCAAAAAATCTTTACTTTATCTATCTCTGCTAGCTTTTGTCTCGTATCTTTCCTCCCTTTTATGACTGAACTTGAGAAGGCAATAAAGATGCCTCCTCTTCCTCTCCTCTATCTCCTTAACTCTCTACAATCTGCTTTCTGATAACAATCATTCCACTGAAACTGCTCTTTCCAAAGTAACTAGTGATTTCTTAGTTGCCAAACCCAATGAC